CCCCCCCCCCCCCCCCCCCACGTGCGTCTCTGTCTTTCAGTGCATCTCTGTGTGCGTGTGTGTGCCGTGGCCGCAGTCGGAGCAGTTTAGGTTTGTGCCCTTTTTCCGTCGCCCGCCATGAAAGTCAGCCCCAAGAGCGCCCGCCGCGCGCACGTGCGCATGCCCGCGCACGTCCTGCTGCTGACGGCCCTGTTCTTCGTCTTCTTCTACCTGACGCGGTCGTCTGTGCCGCTGCCGGAGGCGGTGTCGGCGACGTCGGGTCTGGAGGAGGGGGAGCTACGGATGTCGCGCGCGTCGGCGGTAGCGGCGGCGGCGACCGCGGCGACCGCGGCGACCGCGGAGGAGGGCGGCGACGACGGGGACGGGGACGGCGACGACGGCGGGATGTCTCGGTGGGAGAAGATGCAGGCGGAGCGCGAGCGGATCGAGATGGACGCGGTGATCAAGGCGACGGAGCTGTCGGACGGGGTCGGCGAGGACGGCGCGGTCGGGGTGGCGCGGGAGGCCGGGGCCGGGAACGAGAAGTGTCTGCCGTACATCTTCTACGACAAGCCGATCAAGACGGGATCGACGGCGGTGACGTACGCGCTTCGGTCGTACATCATCTCGCGCGGCGGGGTGCACCGGCGGTGCAGCTACGACGCGTGCACGCCGCGGGCGGAGGCGGTGTGCAACGGGACGGGGCGGTTCGAGCACCTGATCGGGCACGTGAGGGGCCGGGAAGGGCTGGTGGAGTGCATGAAGACGCGCGGGTACTACGCTGTGACGAGCGTGCGCGACCCGTTGGAGAGGTGGCGCAGCGCGTTTTCGTTCAACAAGATGATGCAAGGGAGGCACTATGGGATCCCGTGGGAGGAGGACTTTGGGTCGTTTATGCAGAGGTATCCCGACTGCACGCTGTTTCATTACTATGACCAGCTTGGGTCGGTGTGCAGGAAGGGAAAGGTGGAGTGGCAGGAGAGAATGAGAAGGATTGTGGCAAGGTATGACGAGGTGATCGACTTGTATGACGATGATGAGGGGAAGGGGGGGTGGATGTACCACAAGGTGAAGAAGTACATCAGCAAGGAGAATGTGTCGCACAAGACCCGGGAGGAGGTGGAAAGGTTCGATCGATCACGGCTGGTGCCTGAGCAGACGTTGTACGAGGCGCTCAGGGCGAAGAGGGGCGAGAGCGGCGACAAGGACAGAGTGCCTTGCTAAGGCGACGGGTTACATACTGCGTTGTACAGTACCGTAGGTACCAGTAGATGAATAATAAATATGGTTTGGCGCGTGGGGTGCCGGAAGAATCGGGAGGGAGGGAGGAGGGAGGAGGGAGGAGGGAGAAGGGAGAAGGGAGAAGGGAGGAGAGGAGAGAGGAGAGGGACAAGAAAGTGTACCGCAGTATGGGAGCATGAAGAAGGAACGGGGGGGTCGGGGTCGGGGTCGGTGTCGGTGTCGGGGGCGAAGAATGACGTCCACAGGCGCTCAGAGAGACGACAGGACGTTTCGATCATGGAAGTGAGCAGACATTGCGGTATGCTACGTATCGGGCAAGGACCAGACGCGATTGTGCAGTACCGTACTTACGGTTGTGTCCGTCGTGCTGTATCCTTGATACTGGACGGTATTGAAAATTTACATTTAACGTTGTAGCCCGTTGTAGCCTAGTCCAATCGGGGTTTAGGGACTCACTAGGGACTCACCCTCCCCCTTACGGTGGCACGCGGTGGAACGTCGGGGACGTGATGTCCTTACGCATTATCTCACCTCCTTTTCCACCAACCCGCACTCACCGTATTGCAACCCCAAAATTACACGTCTAAAAAGCCGCTTTGGATACACCAAGCCCCCCTCCGTATAAACAAAAACAAAACTCCTCTGGGAAAGCACCCGAGTCCGCGCCTTATTTCAGCCACGACCAATCACTAACCGCCAGGTTCCCCCACCCCACCCCCTCCTCACAGACTACTTTGGTGTGACACCCCGCTACTGCACCAAAGACTTTGAGAGACGTTTCCTCATGTCTCGTCAACTATTTCATCGCGTCTACGAAGAGGTCAGTGGGCATGGTCTTTTTGTGCGACGGACAGATGCTGTCCACAAGCCCGGAATACATCCCTTTCACCGCGTTGTCGTCGCATTTCGCATGTTGTGTTACGGATCGGTG